TAATTTTTGTTTTGCTTTGCTTGCTTTGTTTGTTTTGTGTTTTGCACTTCTGGGCCACCGTATATAATAAACAACGTCGCGTTTTGATTGGTCAATATTTGGGGGCACAAAACTGCACGAAATAATGTGTCAATTCACCTTTAATATTTTGTTGACTTTCCTGTTTTTTTTGTTTTTTAATATTTTTTGACAGATGTTATTAAATCTGTTAATAAAGCTAATCAGTGTAGTGGACTTAATAATGCAATGGACTTTTAGTCTAAAAGCCCATTTGAAAAACATGCAGGCATGTTCAAACTCCCACAGCAGTAATTTATTGGCTGCGAAATAAGAAATTTTTCATATTTGTTTTGATTGTTTATTTTTGTTTGTTTTTAGGTGTTACCCAACAAGTGTTACACCATACACCGCAAAAAACGCCCAGCCCAGCCGGTTGCTCAACAGGACTGAACAAGGTTTTGCTGCCCACGTTGTTCATAGCTGTCAACAATATTGAACAATGTTGTTGAGTCTGAATCGGGTGTAACAACGTTGTTCAATATTGTTGACAGCTATGAACAATGTGGGCAGCAAAACATTGTTCAATCCTGTTTTCATCAGTATTGCATCAACCTGAGCGTTTTTACGCGTGTACTGAAAGAAAGTTTGCGCAGACCACAGCCAGCGGTCTGTTTGAGCATCACAAGTGTTACGCCACAAAGAAATGCTAGTTGCATTTGATTCTCGTTGTAGAAAACGATGAAGATCATTGCCATGCACGTTTGCCCGTCTCCTGTCGCATTTGCGAGACTTAAAAAATATACAAGGATTTAAAATATGCAAGGGATTTCCCCTATTGCGTTGTATATATTTAACAATTTATATTCCACAAAGGAGATATTTCAAACGTATATAACAGATATTTCTAACACATTAAATTTAGAGATCAGAAATGCATAAAGGACGCATTATTCTATCATTACAGAGTGTATTATAATGAAAAAGACCTATGTATATTTATCAATTCACAGTGATCGATTTGAATGCTTGAGCTTAATACCATGTTACTTACCTCGGGGAACAAATTCTTTTATATAATTCGGATATAACTTCAAACAAAGTATTCGCTGTGTTCCAATGCTAAAATAAAAGAGAACTATATATTAGTCACATTCGTAAATATATAAACACTGAATGGTTTATACCGTATTTACTCGAGCTCAGATAATTTCGGTCTGTTTTTTTTTCGCGCAAGACTTATTCTCCCACGCGGCCACTCCTTGATTCTGACCAATCGAAACAAATCGTGGACGCATGTGATTATTTGTGATTATCTTATTGGCTTTCAATGGCCTGTTCGACTTCCTGCTCTTGACCAGAGCTAGACCAGAGCTTCCACTCGGAAGGAAATTTCCTTCCAAAAGGATATTTTGGCATTTGGAAGGAAAAATAAAAGGAAATAAGATTTGGAAGGAAATTGGAAGGAAATTGGGCCATTTCGAAGGAAAAGGGAAGGAAATTTTACAATTTAAACTTTTTCAGCAATTTCTAGTAATTTAATAATGGTTGAACACTTTATTATGAACTTTTGAGTTCAAAAACATTTATAAAAATAATACTTCGGACATTTACATAACCATCAAGGATGAATGGGGGTAATTTGGGACTTAATTAACAGGTCTTCAGTGAGTAAGTGAGTAGAGTACTTGTACATAAATAACGGGGGCTCAATTTTTTTGCGGGTTTTTAATTTTTTATAAGAATTATAACCCAAAATTAAAAAACAAAAAGTCGGAAAAAGGGAAACTGTAATTTGTAATTTGTAAACAAAAAAAAAGTAATTTATATATTATGATTGAGTCATATTGAGTCGTTGAGTCGACATCTAGTCAGGCTCATCAAAAGATGAAGCTTCAAGTAGTTTTGCAAACGGAGTAGAAAGCGTGCAGGACAAGTGCCTGGTCCAAAAGCAAATATATATAAAAAAGTCGTTTAAGCAATATGTTGTTCGAGAAAACAGACAAAAAATGATACAACAGAACATGTTTTTTCAGGTTAAATTAGAGATTCACTATTTGAATACTGCAGTACACCTTCAATTTACATCGGGAGTACAGTACAATACAAAATTTATTATACTATTTTAAACTGACATTGGAAGGAAAAAAGGAAGGAAATTTAGAATTTTGGGAAGGAAATTTTGCGAAAAAAAAGGACAAAAACGAGAAATTTTGCTTTGCCAAAGTGGAAGCACTGGACTGTACCCTGTACTCTTTATACAATAATAGTGGATTTTAATATGCGTACTCGATCAAATATTTGTGAATGTACGCTTTTTACGCGTACTCGATCAAAAGTAAACGGCTGTACGCTTTCTAAGCATACTCGATCAAAAGTAAACGGGCAAACGGCTGTATGCTTTCTATAATAAAAGCATATTAGACCAAAACTTAAACGGCTGTACCCATATATTCGGTGTACTCGATCAAAACTAAACAACTGTACGCATATTTTGTATGCTTCATTTAGTTTATACTTTTAATTCCATCGGCCGAAATCGAAATACTGCAGCCGGGCAGTGTGCCCGGTGTCACAGGAGATTCCCCC